TAAGATCTAACATCAGTGACACACATATTCTCTACCAGAGAACTTTGACTTAATGACATTTAAGGTTAAGGGCCTGTTTAGTTCAAATTGTTTTACCTGATTAAATCAATAGATAATTGTCAGTTGATACGTCACATTACAATATAAAAAAGTATATAAATTTCTTCTGGATAATTACAAATAGTTCATATTGATAAGGTAGTTGGATAGCTGAAAGTTGCAATGGGGTGGGCGTCGGCCGATTCGGTTCGGTTTTCATGAAGTTCGGTTCGGTTTGTTCGGTTTTCTATTTAGTGCACCAATAACAGAACCAAAATTGGTTCAGTTTCTTTGGTTTTTGCTAATTCGGTTCGGTTGATTTTCGGTTCAATTTGGCCGGTTTGGTCTTGTCGTATTGAGCTTTTAAATCGGACTTTTTCTACTAAAAAATATGACTAATTTCATGTTTTAGTGCAACTAAAACTCGAAAACACGATACTTATAATATGATTAGCCAAATCATTTAGTTGATGTAGGAAATATAAATTTATTTGACAAATATTACTTACAATATAACTATCTCGTAGACAACAACATCGGCGACGTGCAAGCAAATAAAGATGAAAGATGCATTGGCAAACAAAAAGAAATAATTTTTAGAATGTGGGACTTTATTTGGGTTTGGGCTTCAAATTTTATAATGTAATTATGTAAATATGTGGAAAAGTTGGGGTAGACAACTTAAGAGGAGCCCAGAGGCTAGGACCCATATTAAAAACTTCGGTTTTTCGGTTTAAACGAAAACCGAAGTTGCCAAACCGAGCACCGAAATTATAGAAAACATAAACCACAAACCGATCGAATAAGCCGAATGAACCGAAGTTTAGGGTTCGGTCGGTTTTTTTGGTTCGTCCGGTATTATGCCCACCCCAACCAATGAGTATGTAAGTCTGAGGGGCCAAAGGCAGTTCTTCGTCACTGTACACGTAGGTTATAGAATAAACTGCAGTGTGGATGAAATGCATGCCACTAAAGACATAATCTGACACGTTAATCAATCAATCAGCAATCAATCAATGCTTCAATCCGAAATAGATCTGCTATATGAGTCTCCATATCCATCCTACTCTATTTAGGCACATTTCATTGCAATATTGCATAATTTATATTTAAGGGAACTCAGGGATTCTTCAAAACTAGAGATCTTTTTAATCTCACATTTTTTTTTCACATGGATGTACAAGTTTCTAACCAGAATAAAAAGACTCTCGACACATATCTACATAATGCAAATATAACAACAAATATGCCTCGACCCTAACTGGTAGCAATTTCTTATGCGTCCTTTACTTCATCGTGTTATATCCTAAGCTAAATCCATAATGAATTCCAAGAGATCGATGGTTGTTTAAGACGACTTCTCCCTGTGATTTAGTTCTATCTCATTTCCAGTTGTCACCTCCTACAATCATCATAGGGTCACACCCACCATTGGTCAATATGGAGGTGTACGTAAAATCATCTTAGGTGACACCTTTTCATTTTATCAATGTGTGCGTAACTTGCAACTTGTTTTTTTGATTAATCAACTAGTGAAGGGAATAGAAGCATAGGTAGAGAGGAGGAATGAGAAAGCAAGCTGGCTGCATATATCGTGGAGATGCCCGCTTTGTAGATTTGTTGAGTCAGACCAATTAGGCTACCAAATTGTCTTCTTGGAATGTACTTAATTTATTAAGAAAGTGACTGATTCAGGAAATGTGGATGTGACCATTTCCAATCTTGTCTGACCCACATCCGCACTTCTACAACATTTGCTACAGTTTCCATGGCCAAGAATCATAAGGATCTCAAAGGTGCAAAATAAAGGTACTGCTTCAAGTTGGAAACTGAAGAGTTTGGATACAAGTACCAATGATTAATATTTGAACTTTAACAATCTAGGCAATGATCAGCTTTACAAGAGTAAATAGTCTAACCATTTCAATCCTTGGCTACCAGAAAACATTGAATTTGTAAATGAGGACATCAAACAGGAGAAAACAACAGCAAGAAGAAGGTACAATAACAAGCAAATCTCCAAACCCAAGAAAGGCTCTAGGAAAAGCAGATTGCAAATACAAGTAGCTGAATTTCAATTGCATCCTTCTTCGGGTCTTAGACACCTCTATGTTTTGAGATATTGCAGGCATTTCACAGTCTATGACAGCTGCATAGTTATCACTGAGATGCAGGTATATCTATAACGAGTATGTCAGATGGTTTGTCAACACTCAACAATATTTCCTGAATCATGTAATCATACTAATATAATTACATCTGTTGATCACAACCTTGAGCAAGAACTTCGGCTCCAAGTCTTGCCTGCTGGTTTAAGCATCATGTATATTTCAGCTGTAATGGATTTCTCGTTAGTTAAGTATGAACCACTCTTAGTTATCCCCTTTTTCCTCTCTGGTAAAAGCATTTAAGGTAGCTCGGCCTAAGAAGCATTGGGGTGAGGTGATCAGGCAGGACATGGCGCAAATTTCCGAGGACATGGATCTTGATAGGAACATGTGAAGGTCGGACATTAGGATGGTAGGCTAGGGGGTAATCGAGAGTTCCTCCCTTTTTGTATCGGGTAGTCTGATAGAGTTTTGTTTAGGTTTGTTAGCGGTATATGTTGTGTTCACATTGTTGTTTTGCATAGTTTTGTGTATTGTCCTTTCACTTATTTGTTGTTGTTATTTTTTTTCCGGCATCTTCTGTTGTTATGCTTTTTCTCTTGTTTCTTTTCTGATATTATTGTCTCTCTTGCTGAGCCGAGAGTCTCCCGGAAACAGCCTCTCTACCTTTTTCGGGGTAGGGGTAAGGTCTGCGTACACTCCACTCTCCTCAGACCCCTCTAGTGGGATTTTACCGGGAATGTTGTTGTTGTTATTACACCACCCCAATCATCTAACATCTGTCTAAATTCTAAAGGTATCAACCACTAATCCCTTAATGTTCTTAACCCCAAAAAGATTTGTTGTTTGAAAACTATTAAAATAGAACCAATGAGGTTTCCTCCCACCCCTCGTCTAAATTGAGGCTAAGGAAATCCATACAAGTAAAAGAACCACTTGGTTTAGACAAACTTGGAGCGGCTAAATTGAAGTTGAGAACCTCCTAAGCACTACCACATTCTGCTTACCAAAAAAAAGCACTGATACTCACCCAAGGAGACAAAACTATACAATTTGTAAAGTCTTTCCTAGTCATATGCTAAATTTAAGGACATACAGGGGCTGGACTACTCAAAAGGATACCATCATAAGCCAGATATGAATTGCAGCCAGGAACAAGAAGTTTAAAGTTTAGCACGTCAGAAGATGGAAGGCATTAAAATCAATTGTTTAATTCTTTCGTCCACCTTTATAGATGAGGATCTGCTGGACTGAACATCTACCTTGTGCAGGAATTACTTTTTCTTACACTAACAACTATGTTTTGCTTATACTTATAGTGTACAGAGCCCGGAGCCTGCTGCAGCAAACATCCTTAATCACTCCAACAATGGAGAAAGGGAAAAAAGCATATTAGTCTCATGAATATAGTCTATAGACAAGTTGAGAACAAGCAACAAAGTAATAAGTGAATAAAACAACTACATCAGCTCATTTTTCAAATGACCAATAAATCATTTACCTAAAAATCAAGAAAATAAACAAAACAGCCAAAGTAAGCAATTTACAATAGAAAAAAGTAAAATACTAGCGGACACCCTTAATTCCCGTACTTAACCAAAATAGAGAAGTAAAATCACTAATCAGGCACGGAATGTACATCAAACTGAATCAAGATTGTCTAATAATTCCATGGAAATTAATCAAATAACAAGAGAAGTCTGAAATTGAACCTAGAGCTCCAGTAGGGAAAAAGGAAAGGAGTGCACTTACTTCTTGAACATTTTCACGGGCTGACGCTGAGAGAAGAATAATATGTAGGGTTTAAGCTGATGAACAGAGTGATAAATTTGGAATTGAGATCTCAATTTTAAAATAAAACATATGCTAGCCCTTATATTTATTGATGATAACCAAAGATGACGTTTTTTTAGTGGATCTACCAGCCCCGTGGACCGCGTTGTAAGAAAGCTAAGGTATCTGAGTTCCACTTTGATGATTTTAATGTACTATGTTAACATGTCCGTATAAAGCTGGATTTAGTGAACCTTTTGCTGTTAAAAGAATAAAAGAAGTATTTGAGGCTAAAGTTTAAAACACAAAAAAGTATATGGACCGCGATTGCGAATTACATTAGGGAAGCCGTTAGAGAGGTATTGGGAGTTTCAAAAGGCTCGTCTGGTGGCCGCATAAGGGATTGGTGGTGGAGTACTCAGATTCAAGGCAAAGGGGGAGCCAATAAAGCAGTATATCTGCAGTTGTTGGGGAGCATAGACGAGGAGGAAAAGAGGACGAATAGATAGCGATATAAGATAGCTAAGCTTGCGGTTATAGCGGCCAAGACTGCTGCGTTTGAACGCTTGTATAAAGAACTCGGAGGCAAATGGGGGGATAAGAAGTTGTATAGACTAGCCAAGGTGCGAGAAAGGAAGGCCCGTGACCTGGACCAAGTGAAGTGTATCAGGGACGAGGAAGACAGAGTTTTGTTGAATGAGACATTCATTGGCCGAAGATGACAGACTTACTTTCATAAACTCTTGAACGAAGAAGGGGTAAGAACATTGAGCTAGGTGACTTAGAACACTTCGAGAGTCGTCGGGACTTTCGGTATTGTAGGCGCGTAAGAGTCAAAGAGGTTGAGGGGACTATGCGTAAGATGAGCAGGGGGAGGGTAACGAATCCAGACGAGATCTCGGTGGAATTTTAGAAGCGTGTGGGTAGGGCGAGCTTGGATTGGCTTACTGGGTTATTTAATGTTATTTTTAGGACGAAGAAGATGCCCGAAAATGAAGATGGATGGTCTCACTATATAAGAACAAAGGTGATATCCAAAGTTGCAACAACTACCGGAGTATCAAGTTACTAAGCCATACTATGAAAGTCTATGAGAGGGTGGTGGAGCTGATCAGGTTGAGGAGGATTGTGACTATTTCTGAAAACTGGTTCGGCTTTATATTGGGACATTCGACTAAAAAAGCTATCCATCTTGTTAGGAGGTTGATGGAGCAGTACAGGGAGAGGAAGAAGAATTTACATATGGTGTTCATCGGCTTAGATGAGGCTTACAATAAAGTACCGAGGGAGATTCTGTGGAGATTCTTGGAGGCTAGAGGCGTTCCGGTTGCATACATCAGGGCTACTAAGGACATGTATAATGGAGCTAAGACTCGAGTGAGGACAGTGGGAGGGGACTCAGAACACTTCTTAATTATGATGGGATTGCATCAGGGGTCAGCCATCAGCCCATTTCAAGTCGATCGATGCTCTGACGCGCCACATTTAAGGGGAGATGCTGTGATGCATATTATTTATAGACGAGATTGTACCAATTGACGAGATGTGATGCGGTATTAATCAGAGGTTAGAGGTTTGGAGGCAGACCCTGGAGTCTAAAGGTTTCAAGTTGAGCATGACTAAGACAAAATACTTGGAATGCAAGTTCAATGGTGTGATTCAGGTAGTGGATGAAGACGTGATGCTTGATTCTCAAGTCATCCCTATGAAAGAAAATTTTAAATACCTTGGGTCAATTTTACAAGGGAATAGTAAGATCGACGAGGATGTTACACATCGTATTGTGGCGGGATGGATAAAATAGAGGCTCCCTTCTCGTGTTTTGTGTGATAAGAATGTGCCACCCAAACTTAAAGGTAAGTTTTATAGAGCGATGGTCAGACCGACTATGCTGTATGAGGCCAGCCAAGAACTCTCATGTCCATTATATGAATTTATCTGAAATGATGATGTTGAGATGGATGTACGGACATACTAGGTTAGATAGAATTATAAATGAAGTTATTCGGGACGATGTGGGAATGGCCCCTGTGGAGGACAAGATGCGGGAGGCGAGACTTAGATGGTTCGGGCATGTGATGAGGAGAGGCACAGATGCTCCGGTAAGGAGGTGCGAGAGGTTGGCCTTAGAGGGCCGAAGAAGTATTGGGAAGAGGTGATTAGGCAGGATACAATATTGCTCCAGTTTATTGAGGACATGACCATGGATAGGAAGGTATGGAGGTTGAGTACAAATAAAAGGTTAGGATAGATAGTTGAGCATTGTCATGTCCGTCTATCGTCATATCCCTTGACTTCCGTTATTACTTGTTGTTGCTTTCGTTTCGTCTTTCTGATTAGAGTACCTATTATTAGTTTTGTATTTTTACTTGGGTTTTTTGATTAGTATGCTTGTTGTTGTCCTTCTTTTACCTTTCCTGAGCTGAGGGTCTACTGGAAACAACCTCTCTGCCTTCTTAAAAATAGGAGTAAGGTATGCGTACACACTACCCTCTCTAAACCCCAGTAGAGAGATTATACTGGTGATTATTATTGTTATTGCTAGACTTCAATATTTAGAGAAAAAGACTTAATAGTCCCTTAAGTATGGTTGTATGAGTACGTTTATCCCTTATTTATACCACTGAATATAAAATATCTTTTTATCTTAGTAAAAAATGGACAATTTTTATCTAACCCTTAATAGGGTTTATAAAATTAATGATAAAGGCGTCAACTTAGAGTTAAAAGTAGTGGAGTTTTTTCTCTAATAACTACCACTTAAATACAATGTTAGCATCCATCAAATATTTTTGTCTCTTGCTCTCCGGCTCTCCCGCCCATCAACCCTCTTTCTCCTAAAATCCCTAGAATTGAACTCCACCCTTTCTACCAAAATCCCTAGAAATCGAACTCGACCCTTTTAAATGTTAGAAACTATGAGTCTAGTCAGTGGAAGGATGGGATAATCCGGAATCGAAGTTCAACTGGAAAAGATCATAGAATAAGTGATTTGTAATCATCTATAGGTTTGTTAAAGCAACACATTGTTAATTTTTTGCATTCGTATTCTTGCAACCAATTCATGTGATTTTGTTCTTATCCAAGTAGCTGCAGTTGAAGCTTTTGAAGCTACCGTTACTTACCAGTTTGTAGTTTTATGCTTTGAGCTTTTATTTTTAAGAACTCAAACCTTCTATTTCATAACTGTATGGTCAAAAATATGAAAAATATATGATCTCTCTTTTAGTATATGTCTGATTATTTTGGTTTACAAGCTACTTACATTTTTTAAGATAAATCTTTTTGCTCTTTTAGCTTGACATATGAATTTCTTTTGCACCATGGACTATGAACCTGGGGAGTAAATTTGTAACTATTTCAGTAGCCTGGTTCTTGTAATAAATAAAATTAATAGTTGGAACTTACTTGAAAACTGTAAGATAGTTTGTTATTGGCAAGTTGGAAGTGGGACGTTTCTTTCTCGTACCGTGCCTGTTGGTCTCGGAATTGATCATTATGAAATAGCGCATAACAGGCACGAGATTGACTCAACAGGCACGACTCGTGCTGACTCAACAGGCACGAAATCCTAAAGTTAATTATTTTATTTTCTAACAGAAAAATCAAATTTATTTGAATTTTAAATTCAAAATTCGAATAAATAGTTGTGTCTGTTTGTGAAACAAGATATCTTTTCTGAAAGGGTCTGTTGGTTGCCTATAAATACACAAGAATTCCAACGAAGTGGAATAGAGAAAATCACAAGNGTGGATATAGAAAATCACAAGTGTTACTGCAGGCTTTGTTGTATCCTGAAGAGAATCGTTTTGTATTTTCCCTAAATTAGTATACAGGCGACAACTCTTTAAGGACAGTCGATTTTCACGCCTCAAAGCTAATTTTCTTTATTATTTTCTAACAATCTTAAAGAGTTATTCTGCTATGGAGAAATTGATGTCTGTTGTTGAGAATCCGAAGGAGTTCATCAAACTTGATCGCTTTGATGGAACGAACTTTACCCGTTGGAGAGACAAGATGATATTCTTGTTGTCCGCTCTCAATATCTACTATGTTCTTGATTCTGCCTTGCCTCCGATGCCTGAGCCCACAACAGAAGATTCTGACGTAGTCAAGGAAGAAAGGAAGAAACGAGAACATGATGAACTGTTGTGTCGCGGCCATATTCTGAATACTTTGACAGATCGACTCTATGATCTTTACTGCAATCTGAAGTCGCCAAGAGAGATTTGGACTGCTCTACAAACTGCATACCAGAATGAAAAATGAGGTATTGACAAATTCCTGGCTCTGCAGTACTTTGAATTTAAAATATTTGATACTAGTCCTATAATGGATCAGATTCATGAACTGCAAATCTTAGTATCAAAACTAAGTGATCATGAAGTTAAAATTCCTGATGCACTTTAAATAGGTGCTATTCTTTCGAAATTGCCTTCCTCTTGGAATGACTATAGAAATAAAATCCTAAATTCTATGGATAAAATGACTGTGGAACAATTTCGTACTCACATTCAAATTGAAAGTGAGACTCGTGCTCGTGATGCTATTAGTCAGCCTTCGAGTTCCGCAGTCAATTTTGCCAGTCAGAATGGTTCAGGAAGTGGGAACAAACATCTGAAAGTTTCCAAAAAGTCTTATTTTAAAAAGAGAAAGAACTTTAGTTGTCATCATTGTGGAAAGAAATGCCATATGATTCGGGACTGCAGATATAGAAAGGCAGGAATAAATTTCAATGCAGGCAATACCGAAAAGTCTGGAAAGATTGAAAAATCTAAAAAGGCAAACGTAGTGGAAAATTCTGCCCAAGGACTGGTTGCCATGGTTTCCTCAATGCAAATTGGTATGGTCACAGAGTTGAATGTGGCTACCGCTGCTACAAATACTCAAGACTGGTAGCTAGATTCGGGTGCTACTATTACTGTCTGTAATGACAAGAAGATGTTCAAGACATATGCAGAAGTGCAGGATTCTGAACAAGTCTTGATGGGAAACCATGTTGCAGCAAATGTTGATGGAAAAGGAAGTATTGAGATTAACTTCACATCTGGCCAGAAGTTGACATTACTGAATGTGTATCATGTTCCTGATATGAAGAAAAACTTAATGTCCGCTGCTTTGCTATCAAAGAAAGGTTTCAAGATAGTTATTGAGTCTGATAATGTAATAGTGTCTAAGAATGGAGTTTTTTGTTGGAAAAGGCTATAACTGTAACGACATGTTCAAATTGAGTATTAATGAAATAAATTATGTTTCTGCTTACATCGTTGAGTCTGATTCTTGTTTATGGCATGCTAGACTAGGACATTTAAATTTTGGCTCCTTGAATTATATGTCCAAAAATGGTTATATCTCATGTAAA